ACAGGCAGATTTTTAAGTGATTTAATGTGTATTCATAACTTTTATTTCAGAAGCACCTTTGAATACCTGCATGACTCGAGAAACTTTTGTTGAAATCTATGTTTAGTATATAAATTATCAGCAAAAGCACACACTCATGCACAAACTCGAGGACTGAAATTCATTCGTCTGCAGAGAACATTTCCTTTGTGCACAGTGGCTGCTGAATCATTGAGGCTCCCTCAGCAGGCCTCTGATTTATGACCGTACAACATCGCTGTCTAGTTTTCGCATATGCAACTACAGAAAAGATAAAAGAGAGCGAGGGAGAGGTGAAGAGAAAGACAGAGAAAAGTGCTGGCATCCACCGTGCATTGAGAAGAGGCTCAGGGCGGGTAGTTTAGGTTGAATGAAATCTTAAACGCTTTTTCATCAAATGGGGGAGAAAAAATGGGGAACTGCTCCTAGGGGATAGTGACAAATTACTTCTCAGAACGATTTTCTTAAGTGGAATCAGAGAGAGTGCGAAATGCTAAGACACTGAACAGATGTTTTAATGATGTAGAGGACACATAGAGGACACCAGTGGAAGTTCTTGTACAACAGTACAACAGTAGAAGAAGTGGTTTGGATTGTCTTTTATACTTGTGGTTATTGGGGAAAGATGTCAACTAGCTCTTGCATCCGTTTTCACATATTGTTTCAATTGTAGTTTTATTTCAATTAGTATTTTTAGTACTTTCATTTAATTTTTTTTTTAAATTTATTTACCAAAAAAAGTTTTTAATAGTTTATTTTTTAGTTAACAACACTGTTTACGGGGGAAGTCGTGGTCTAATGGTTAGAGAGTCGGACTCGTAACCCAAAGGTTGTGGGTTCGAGTCTCGTACCGGCAGGGATTGTAGGTGGGGGGAGTGAATGTACAGCACTCTCTCCACCTTCAATACCACGACTGAGGTGCCCTTGAGCAAGGCACCGAACCCCCAACTGCTCCCCGGGCGCCGCAGCATAAATGGCTGCCCACTGCTCCGGGTGTGTGTTCACAGTGTGTGTGTGTTCACTGCTGTGTGTGTGCACTTAGAATGGAATAAATGCAGAGCACTAATTCCTAGTATGGGTCACCATACTTGGCCACATGTCACGTCACTTTCACTTTCACTTTCACTGTTATTGCCATTAAACCTCTGGTGTAAAAGCACCCAGAACAGTATGTTTTTAATATTTTTAACTAGGGCTGCACGATAAATCGCATGCGATATTTAACGCGCATCTTATCAGTAAAGCCGGTTCTGTAATCAGCGGTAATTGGCAGTTAGGGCTGCACGATAAATCGCATGCGATATTTAACGCGCATCTTATCAGTAAAGCCTGTTCTGTAATCAGCGGTAAATCTCCATCACCTGCATGCTTTCACATTGAGCAGCATTAACTACACAGATCCGTTGTTCACTGACGAGTTGCGCAAAACCACGTTCATATTCGCGCGATTTTTTGCGCAACTCGTCAGTGAACAACGGCTCTGTGTAGTTAATGCTGCTCAATGTGAAAGCCCGCAGGTGATGGAGATTTACCGCTGATTACAGAACCGGCTTTCTGACAAGATGCGCATTAAATATCGGATGCGATTTATCGTGCAGCCCTATTTTTATCTGAAAGCTTCATTTTCATAGTCATTCGAGAATCAGAGGGAGTCGTTCATGCAGCCTGTGATTATTTTGAAGACCAGCTTAGGCATATCTTTACTTCCATTTCGTTTTCTAAATTCTATTTTAAGTGTCTCGCACTGTGTGCCAGGCCAAGTGAAAGCCGTATGAAATTTGAGCTCCAAAAACCTCTTGTACATGCCCAAGGGAAGTCATTCTGCACCCACCAAAACCAACAGTTAGCTTTGACCAAACCCTCCCACACCTGGTCCTGTTTTGCCGGACATTGGCATAGCTTTCCTGTGAGTCGAGTAGTTCCACAAAAGAAAGGAAATTAAATTACATTCTACACCGTTGTTTCATGCCGCCGTGGTACAGCAGGTCCTTGAAGTTACAACCTTCACAAAAGGCCACATGGTTATGTAAGGAAGAAAGAGCGCCAGATACAAGCTGGCTTTACGGGCATCACAGCTGGTTATGTTTTTCTTGCATTACTTTTTCATACTGACACATTCTGCTTGCTGCAGCCTGTTTGGAAAAACAACATGGCCACTCGGCTCGCTCTTCCTAGCCGTGTGGGTTGAAAAAGCGTTTTCTGTAAATGTTTAACCAGATGGGTAAACTGGACAGGTTTCAATCAATGTCAGTGTCTTTGGGTTGCCTTCCCAGCATGGAAGCATGGCCTCAGTTCGTCCACAAATTGACCAGAGCTTACTGGTTACAAGAGCTTCATGTGGCGTGTCGCTGAGTGCATGTTTGTATATATCAGTAGATTGTGTACTGTAAACCAATATGACCAGTTATAATCCTGCTGTCAGACCTCTGCATTTTGATAAATCCTGGAGAGAGCCTGCAGTTTCAGCTCATTAGAGAAGTATGCATAGATTAAACCAAATCGGCAGTGATGGAGAAGATGTAAAATGCTTAATTATGGGTGGTAGCATGCAACCAGAGCAGAACTGCCCTTGAGTGTTTTTGTTTTTCAGTTTTCCTATAACAGTTACTATGATAAAAGTGCTGTAATTTGAAACAATTTTTAAAAAATTTATTTATTTATTTATTTTGGCTTGTCACGTCATAAATGCTGTTAATTAAAAAAAAAAAAAAATCAGGTTACCCTGTTTTTGAATTCATCCTAACAGAATCTTACATGTGCATCATATACAGAAAGTTCTATAATTTAAAACTAATTTTATTTATTTTGCATGCTTCACCATATACACTGTTTTTTTTTTTAAGTTAAAAATAATTATTAAAAAATGTTTCAGGAGACCCTGTTTTATTCCATCTTGCTGGTTTTAAATGCTTCTTATGTGAACAGCACCTTACATGTACATCATGTACATCATGTTGTTTTACCAACAGCCATACTTGTTGGTTTGTGAGTGAAACATATGTTGGTTGTGCTCTACTAGATGAGATTTTTCCAATGATGTATGTAAAGATTATTCAAACTCTGCGATGTTTTTGCTATTTCCTATCTTTCCTATTTTGATTATTATGTTCATATTTCATAGAAAATGGAACTAATTTGTCAGAAAATTAAGTGGTCTATAAGAGTTGGTCAGATTGCCTATATGCATTACAAAGTTCAAATTCTAGGTTTCGAGTCATTTATTTTTTAAATAAATTAGTTCCAGTTTAAAGGGTTGAAAATGTTGGTAATCAATATCAGTCCAGAAATTTAAATATCATCTATAATTAATATATATCATGTATGTCATGTTTTTTTTCTTTTCCCACTGAGCTTGTTGCAATGCTTTATGGTATTGCGTTTTTATGTATGATAGATGCAAATCTGTCTTTATGCAGATTTTTTCGTTGGAACAGGTTTTGCGCCAGAAGTATGTCTGTGATGCCTTAAAATGCTCCCTATATAGACATCTCACTAGGTTTTGGAACAGAGTCAGTGTAACTTCACAAGTGGCACTTGACTTTTCAACAGCATGTCATGCTTCCTTGGGAGAAGCGAGAGAGAAACCGGCCCAGGCCTTGAAAGAGTTCCTGTCCACTCCCCAACCGCACAGCCCACACACTAAGCCTTTGGAAAGAGAGAGGAACTGTGAGTGGGAAGTGTTGCTGGTGTAGGCCCAGGGATGAGAGTGTGGAACAGGGATGCTTCCGAGGAAACGTAATGGCAGGTGTCTGCTGAAGCACGCCCGCCAATAATTTCTTCAGTGAGGCAAACTGGCAAAGTCGCCTGCTATTTCAGACACTATTCTTAGGTCTGTTCCTTACAATTGGGCTTGAAACTTTAGACCAAAGTATTCGGTGCTGGACAATGCTCAGAGCGATCAACCCCCTTCAGATCTCTAGGCTCCCATACTCACCGTACGTTGACTTCATTTCGAGCAGCTCTGGGCTCGTGGCCTGAGGGTTCTGCTTTTTAATGTCGATGGGCCTGAAAAAGGAGCAGACTTCAATGCAGGCAAGAGTTTCAAAGGGCCGGCTAGAGCCTAAGTGACCTGCTCTGTGCAAGTGACATTACCATAAGGGACATGTAACTAATCTGCCCTATACAAAGTCCAAAAGTACATATTTGCTGTTACAGTGCATTCGGGATCAAATACAGATGTTTGTTTAGCAGTATCTGTGCTTGGATGCTCCCCCGAATATGAGGGGGATATTATTATTAATAATTAAATATTAGTAATTATACATATATTTTTTACTTAAAGGGATTGTTCACCCAAAAATAAAATTAATTAAAAATAATTTAGTAACTTTCATGCCGTTTCAAACCTGTATGACTTTCTTTCTTTGTAACACAAAATAGGAGGTAAACTATTCCTATAAATAAGGATACAAGTCTCTTTTTGTTATTAGTAGTTCACTTGTGAGTTGCCAGGCATGTTTTGACTTAAAAGGCACATATCTCTTCACAGGCCTCCACAACTATCTGAATCGAGAGCTGTCATTAATGCCAGCCTTTAACTTTCTCTCTGCCTTGCTTTGATGCACTGCCAGAACACTGATCCCGGGTTTGTTTTCATTGACAGAGATAGCTTGCAGTCTTTGACATGAAAGCGATAATCCAAATTTCTAAAAATAATATGTCAAATGTTTATGCAACATCTAACCTAACAGGGTTGTGCAGCATTCAGAATTTAAATTTATGTAACCGATGTAAGAGTATTTTTAAATAATAGATTTCACTTTTCAGTATGAATTACATATGTACTTTATTTTTTTCATTTATTTAAACAATTAATTGTATGGGCCATGGTGGAAGAATACTTAGTAACTTACAGTACACACATGCTTTTTTAAACTAATACTTATTTTTAAGTATTACATATAAACTTTTAATTATTTATTTATTTAAACAAATAATTAACTTTTTTTTTTAATCCTGTAACCTACTCTTCCCTTCATTAGGAGAAGTAAATGGCACACGGTCCCCTCCAGTAAAGAAGCCTGGCAAAGAAAACAACTACCAGTACATTAAGGAAACAGCAGTGAAGCAGCATCTCAACAACAAGAGGACCAGGATGTACAGCTCCCTGGATGATCCCAAAACACCTCACCCCAGACAGGTGAGTGTCCCTCTGTGAAGAGGTCACTGCCCTCTTGAGTACTGGTGAACGCTGAAGCGAGTCGTACGAAAGGACAACACAGAGAATGTTAGACCAACAGAAATAAAAAAACCTGTATTCACCTTGGATGTCATTGTGTTCAGTACGGCAGTGCCCTCTTCTGGTTATCAGACTAACACGCCACATACACAATGCTACAGGCTCACACAACACATATGCACGCGCTCGCTATGACACAGATACTCTCCTTTCTGTATCAGCTAAACATTAATTTTCCTAACAAAGTCTTCTGGGGTTCAGATTTACGGTATGTCCTTTGTACAACCCTCTGTATTTGATGTTGCTATAATTCTGTGGTCTGAGGTTGTTTGTCAGTGTATAATTTATTGCTTCAGTATGTTATTTTCATGATTGGAGCTGTGCAAAAACTGCTGTAAGCTGATTTTCGGGTGTTTTTCGTATTAAGCCTTTTTCTAGTGCCATTTTCACTATGTTTTCAGTTAAAAACATGTGATCGTTTCCTTAGTTACCTAATTAACCAGCGATTTCTGATGTCTAAAACACTTCCCGGTGATAGCATACAGTCGCATTCGGATTGCCAAGGCAGAACAAACGGCTGCCGTCTCTGCTGAAACAAGGAATGAGCCAGTGCTTGTCGAATTTGGCCATCACGCAAGTCCACAGAGAGTTAATTAACTTTTCTTGGACTTGTACCATGCTTTACCTGGACTCTTAAAACCTCAGCCAAGTGATCACTGCAACACCCCAATCAGCATCTCTATCAGGCATCATCTAATGTTTTGAGCCAATAGACAAATTCTCTTGCTAATTTACTTCATTTGGCAAATGATATATCTTTTTTTTTTTGTAATTACAGGTTTCTTAGTAGCTATTATAAGATCAAGCCTGTCTGCTTTGTCATATTAGCATATCTTCACCATTTAAAGGGTGCCTTAAAGGGATAGTTCACCCAAAAATTTAAATTTGATGTTTATCGGCTTACCCCCAGGGCATCCAAGATGTAGGTGACTTTGTTTCTTTAGTAGAACACAAACTAAGATTTTTCACTCAAACCGTTGCAGTCTGCCAGTCATATAATGGAAGTGAATGGGAATCACGGCTTTGACAGTCAAAAAAACATACACAAACAAAACCAAATTAAACCCTGCGGCTCGTGACGATACATTGATGTGTAAAGAAACTAAATGATTGGTCTGTGCAAGAAACTGAACAGTATTTATATAGTTTTTTACCTCTGATTCACCGCAATGTCCAAACTGTCCTGAGCTCTCGACAGCCAGCGTGTGACGCGTCTTCTTCTTCTTCTTGCTTTACGGCAGATCGCAGACTTATAAGTGCATTACCGCCACCTATCTCTCAAATGGACCATTGACACTCCTAATTGAGATCGTAGATAGAGTGTCAATGGTCCATTTGAGTGTCAGTGGTCTGCGATCTGAAGTCACCTACATCTTGGATGCCCTGGGGGTAAGCAGATAAACATAAAATTTTCATTTTTGGGTGAACTATCCCTTTAAGTGCATTGATCTGGAAAACAGTCCTACATCCGCTCATATTTTCCTCCTCATCGAGTGTATTCTATACCGCTATTGGGCAAGAAATAGTTCTAGAAAATAACAATCGATGTGACCATAAACATACAGCAGTGAAGACAACAATAGTTGTATTATTAAGCACACTGGGTCTGGTTTGGCCGACCTGAAAGCAATAGTAACTACGGCTAAATGATATGTTGATAAAGCAAATGGATGTTGGAAAGTACTATAAAAAGTTAGATGCAATAAAATGAAGAAGCCAAGGCAATAAAAATTCAAACCAGTGATAATGGTAGGGTAATAAAAAGCCAAACCGAATAAACAACTTTTCTGTGGGGGTCATAAATCAGTAGTGTAACCATCACGTATCCCATGAAAAGCAGACATTCAAGGAGAATGTCAGGGTGACGGCATGTCCGATGACAGCAGGGGACTGTTCACTGCTTTGTGATGGAGCACTTTTCATCCGCACGATACGGATAAGATCCCTGGCAGGCCCTCTTCCCCCAGTGCCCTCTTATCCTGGGCCAAGCAGGGAGCAGCCATCATGAGAGATATAGGGAAAAAGAGAAGGAACGGGAGACAGGAATGGTCTTTGATGCCGATGCCTGTCCTTGCGGAGAGGTGGAGAGGCAGAACTAAGCCAGCAAATTAGCTTGAGTACGAGATTAATATCAGCCACACAAATGTTTCATGAGGCCGCCGACCTGCTGTTTATCTCACTCTCCTTATATGTGTGTTTCTTTGAGGATTTTTATTAAAAGTAACTTTTTGTTATATGAAAGTCACATTAACTCTATCTTTTACCACATTTTACCAGGCCTTCATCACTTATTTTTGCTACTTTTCAAATGCATGCTGTTTAGATTTTATTAAATCACAAAAACTATTAATTGCATTTCACAACCCACGAATTGTCCTCTGATAACCCTTTCTCAGATGTTACTCTACTTGTTTAGCAATGTAAATCTCACTTGTCAACAGCATACTTTTACATTTATTTTTCATTTTTTACAACTTGCAAAGGAGATTTCTGACATCTAAAACAAAGTCTGATAATAGCATAACCTCACAATCGATTTTTTTGTATGTCATTTCAGGCTGTTATCTTATGCATTTGATGTAAAAAAAAATTGTGAAGATGTTACTTAATTGAGTGTATTTAGGTATTTAGACAAAGGAGATTGACAAAATAAACTAGTGAGAATGTAAAAATGTGTTTTAATATGTTTGAGTTGAAGAAATACTCAGATACGTGTTTGTGTATGTATTTGATCTTACAGAGCCAGTGTCAACAGGAGCTGGATAGAGTGTTGGAGAACATCTCCCGAATGATGTTCCATGACAACAAGGGACCTTTGGAAAATCTTTATGACCTGAAGTTCCCCAACTGTGACAAGACAGGACAGTACAACCTTAAGCAGGTGAAAAGACCAACATTTGACTCAACCTTTCAAAGACATCATCATGGTCGGACATTAGCAGCTGAAATAGCTTTTCTTTGGGAGTCTTCTTGTCCATTGTCAATTTGAGAAATTTTGACGGTCACCTGCCACATTGGCCGGTAGATTAGCACAAAAAGTACTCGCATTTGGATGCCAGCGTGTGTTAATTTCACTATAGGGAAATAGGAATATGAGATATTGCACAACCTTTGCACAACAATCTGCAGCATCCTGCTGTTTTATTATCCAATTCCATGTGGAAGGTTCAATAATGACTCAAAGATGGAGCCAAAGAGAAACTGTGTAAAACATTCCCACATTCTCTACAGAAGGCTGTTTTATCAAAGCCAAGGCAACCGTATCTGAGCTGAGAGTTACAAGCTAATGAAAATTTTGCTGACTGACTAGCCTGTCTGTCGGGTGGCTTGACTTGGTTTTTAGAGACATTATCAGAGGAAAGGAGAATCACATATGGATCTTTTTTTTATAATCTATTTTATGTATAGATTTTGCTTCTCAGATTCTTTTCCAGAGAAAAAGATGTCACACATATCAGCTTAGGAGTTTCATAAGAAGTCTTAATGTTTCAATATTGTAGCGTCTGGACCAATCAAAAACACAATTTTTCATTTGATTTAACAAATCAGTTATTCATTAGATTAACAAGTGAAAGTGTTGACATTTTGCTGACAGAGCTTGATGACTGAAATCTTCATAAGTTATTATGTTCACAATCATGATATATTTCTGTTTCCTGGCATGACATGTTGGAGCTTAAACACAAACGGGTATGTTGTTTTGACATGAAAACCCTGTTCCCTGGGCACAAAACAGTGTACCTCACCACACTTAATTGTGTTGCAATGATCCTGTTCCTTTTGTAATTATTGTAACTGTCAGTTTCTGTTCTTTGCCATTGGAGGACAAAATTGAGAATCTGTTTTTTGCCTATTTTGGGTCTCAGCATCAGCTATGTCCAGTTCAATTATGACCTCATTTTGGGAGTGCTCAGTAGGGGTCAATGAGACATGCTAGGTCAAATGAGGCAGGAGGGCTCTTTTGGGGCAGCGCCTCCACCCCGTACTCGCTCAGGAGCTTCATTAAGCCCCCAACACCCACCGTTTCCCTGCCCGTCTCTCATCATCTTCTCTCTCTTGTGTTCCAGTGCAACATGTCCAGCCATGGACAGAGGGGCGAGTGTTGGTGCGTCAACCCCTACACTGGTGTCCAGATACCCTCGTCCCCCAAAGTGAGGGGGGACCCTAACTGCAGCCAGTACTATGGTGGTCCTGAGCTGGAACCGCCCACCACCCAGCAGAAATAGACGCACCCTTGCCCATAAGGGAGATGCCCCGGGTCGTAAATGAGGAGAGTTAAAGCGAGTGCAAGAGCGATGTGCATGTGTGTAATTCTGTACGTGTATGTGTATGTATATTTTCGCAATAGTATGATCTGTATTGTCGATAGGAGTGTGGAAAGTAACATGCCAGCACAGACAAGCAAGTCAAGGACAGGTAGTTAAACCTCCCTTTCTCAAATCCAGATAACTGTTCTCCAAATTTAACTCTGAGTGATTGTTTTTTTCTGCCTATTTATAGGCTCGTCTGGTGCCTTTTAATCTTGTGACTGAATCTGGTTGCAGGGAGTCTCTTATACAGCATTTGCAGCTGTTCGCTGTGAAGATGTGTCCCTTTAAATCTCCCTTTTGTCTATGGATACCCAATAAAAACGGTGGTGCTTTTTTTTTTTTTTGCAACATTGGTTGCCAGAAACAAACAACAACTGCAAATGCACAACAGCAGAAGCTTGACATTGATTTAAAAGTGAATCCCAAATTTTGAAACCAAAAATTGTGATAGAGAAAACAGAGAGGTCATTTTTGGCTGATTTGAGAGGATCTGTGCAAGAGGGGCTGGAGATGTGCTTTTTGGCTATTTTGACTACTTAAGTACCTGATAGATAAATCAACCATGAGTACACAAGTGTTTGTAGATGTGCATCAAACTGGCATCGTTTCCGCATAAGTGTTGCATTATTAAGACCATGCATTCAAAACATTTTCAAAATGTGTCTCTTAACCAGTGCTTTTCTTTCCAATCATTTGCTTCAGGCTGAAAGTCCCCACGTACGTGAGTTGCTATACGGTGTCACCGCAAATTGCTGCCCCATCTAACCAATTGGAGTGCAAGGTACGAAAGGCCCAAAATGTCAAACAATCACTAAATTAAAAACGAGGCCCCTTTTTTGACACACATTACTGATCTTCATTCAGCATAATATGTTTTGAAGTTCAAGTGTGTTTTTACAATCGATTATTGCTGTAGCTTCCAAATACTCAAGGTCTGGCCATCCCTGTTCTTGGTGACTGATAGACCTCTGTTCTCATGCTGCTTCTCTACCATGTGGTAGAATGCAGGTGGTGTATGTGTGTGTTTGTAGAGTGGAGATCAACATTTACTAATGATGTGCTGACAGAGGGCTAGATTAGGACACAGGGCTGACATTGACAATGTGATATAAAGTGCGTTAAGTGCCTATAAATAAACACAGGTTTGCCTGCAGTGCCTGTGGGCTGTGCCTCACCTTGCTTCACTCTCATCTGCAGAGGGATGTGTTGGAGGTTGGCAAGGGTGATTTTGCCCAGCGTAACACTTGAATGGGGTTAGTTAGAGAGTCCTGTGAAGGAATGTGAAGTGGTGCATGGGTTTAGTGAGCTTGTTTAACCAATTCTTATACCATTTTCCCCCCAGCTGAGTGAAAACATGCATTTTATTCCATGAACAGCCCAATGCAGCAGACTTTAAACAAACAAACAAATAAATAAGATCCAATAGAAAATTACAAACAATAAAGTAACATACAGTGGAATCAAAAATCTGAACCTGGGATTCAAAATCCAATTGAAATCTAGAAATAAAATAGTTTTAGGATCCTGAACTTTTTTAAACAGGAAAAAAAATCAGATTCTGTAATATCTAGATCACTAATCAATAAGTAAATTTGTCAAGTTTGGGATCGGTAAGATTATTCACATTTTTTTGGAAACTCTTGTTTTTTCCTCAAGATTCTTTGATAAATAGAAAGTTTAGAAGAACAGAATTTAGCTGAATTAGAAAGCTTTTGTGATATTATAAATGACTTTACTGTCACTTTTGATAAATTTACTGCATCCCTGCAAAATAAAAGTATCATTTTCTTTAAAAAAATCTTACTGATCCCAAAATTATGCAAACAGATGCAAAAAAAGAAGCATTCTAGAGTCTAAATAGATGTGACCAGTGGGATTTAATGGATTAACTTGCTCTGTCAGCAGGTGTGATCTGTAATGCCCCGTTCACATGGACACACAGCGGTTTTATCGCTGAAGGCCACCAGATCAATGCACTGTTGGATTGTACTGGGCGTTCCTACTACGCTATGTTCTGACGTCATTGATGGCCTGTGTAGATGACCACAGCTTCTGAAAATCTGATCAGAAATGAGTATCCAGGTGCTGCTCATAAATTTCAACTTTTTAAAATCTGATTCCCTTATTTTCAGTGTAGCCTTTTGGATGCCACTGTATGAGACGTTATTGTCACATCGCTGGAAACTGACATCACTGTCAGTTTGAACAGCAATCAAGGGTTGTCATTCCTTGATTAAGTTATATTTTCATTCACTACCCATATCTCTTACTCTTTTTACCTCTTCCCCATCTGTCTCTCTCTTTCCCATCCTCTCCCTCTCTGTGAGTGTTGAATTTAACAGCTCGATCCAGAAATAGAAGTCGATTAAGCTTTAACATTGATGCTAACGTGTTAGACAGTGTTCAGTCCAGTGTTTGCTTTTGTAGTTTAGCCTTTATGATATATTACCACATTAACCTTCAGTATCTTTCACAGTATTACCACATCTTGCTCGCCCTTAGTAGTAGCTTACATGTATTTACTTTATCTAGTTAGCATTGTGCTAACTACCACAACAGACTGGCTCTCCAAAATCACGCAGCCTCGTGTGATTTTGGTGCCTCACGGATAGATTTGCTGAGACACGGGCTACGAGTGTTCCGTTTCGGTTTATTTCCAAAATAGATCGCTGACTGCCCTCCGGTGGCACAGTTAATTTTACGGTAGCTCTAGTTTGGCCTAGTTTGAAAACAGTGCGAAACCAATCCCTGTGGTTTTCGGGCATATTGATTTGCCAGAGCGGCTCTGATGGGATGGAAGTGTGCACGTATGCATGTGTGTGTGTGTGTTTGTGTGTATTTGTGTGAACGTTTCGATGCTGTGCCATGCCTGGAGCCAGTGTGACGGTGGGAAGGATTGCTTGCCATCTGGTGCAGTGTAAAACTGTCAGAGCCGGTCTCTGCTTTTGGAGAGTCTCACACAAATGACAGTGGGAATTTCTTGAGCAAATCCAAACGCCTTGTGCCATGCCAGCATCTCACATGCCTTTTTTTTCTGTAATTCATTGCATATTCTGTGTGTCACGAGATGCGGTGGTATTAAATAACATACATTACTCAATGCATGCTCCGTGTGTCCACTGTCATGCGAATGGTGCATGAACTGAGTTTTCTGTACAACTGCAATGGAAAAAGCCATAAATGCATGCAAAAATAGACATTGGTTTTAAATTCTTGTAATAAAATCCAGCATGATTAAAAGTATTACCTTTCAGACTCATGGTTCATTTGTCGGGTTTACTCTTGTATACCTTTTTTTAGGATTTCTTTTTTGGGTTTTGTGTTGTCTTGCTAATGTTTTCCATGCACATGAATCATAAGCCCTTCCTGAACTTTTTTGTAAGTGGTGATTAACTAGACATCTTCTTTTCAGGTTTCCCATGGTCATGAAAAAAAAATAAAATGAAGTAATTTTACATTTGTGATTTCCAGACATGGAAAAGCCATGGAAATGTTATTAAATTTAATGTTTATTAAATTTATTGAATTAAATGATTAAATTTGATGTTATTTAATTACAATTTAAATTTAATTTATAAAATAATCAAATGTAATTGTAATCAATATTTAATTTAATATTTATATTTATAAATATATTCAGATAGATAGATGGATAGATCTACACATACATCTTAGGTGTATGTGACTTTCTTCTTTCAGACGAATCCAATCGGAGTTATATTAAAAATTGTCCTGGCACTTCTGAGCTCTATCATTGCAGTTGGCAGGTGTTTCTGTTCAACAGTCCAAAACACTTTAAATAAAGCATGCGCATCCATAATAAAATGTCCCTCACACGGCTCCGGGGGTGAATAAAGGCCTCCTGTAGCGAATCCATGCATTTTTGTAAGATAAATATCCATATTTCAAACGTAATAAACACTTTTTTTCTCACTTCCGCTGACTGTGGTACACGGAAGACGTTCAGGCAGATGACACAAGACGTATGCATCGTGCGCGCGCCTCTGAGAAATGCAGGAGCAAAGGAAACAAAGTTTCCTTACTTTAGCACAGGAAAGCCAGTCTCCTCTTGGCTTATATCGAAATCCTCCGACATTTTTCTTTACAAATCCTCGTTTTGTACTTCTAATTCGTGAACGGCGTTTTGTTTTGTTTTGTCTCCGCATTCGTCACTAATCACGCAACATCGACGTCTTACGTCATCCGACGGAACGGCTTCCGCGTATGACAGTCAGCGGAAGTGAGAACATTTTTTTTATTACGTTTGAAATATGGATATTTATCTTACAAAAATGCATGGATTCGCTACAAGAGGCCTTTATTCATCCCCCGGAGCCATGTAAGGGACGTTTTATTACGGATGCACACACTTCATTTCATGTCTTCTGAACTGTTGACAACCAACACCCGCTTACCCCCATTGTAAGGCTTGGAGGGGCCAGGGCAAATTTAATAGGGATGCACCGATACCACTTTTTCCAGTACTCGCCCGATACCGATACTTTTATTTTTGGTACTTGCCGATTCGATACTTAGGATCGATACGCCCATCCCTATTGTGTATGCCTAAGGTTGAAAATAAATGATGTTTATAGTGAATGCCCCTATTAATGGTTTTATTTTTACGATTTAGTTGTAATCCAAATGATGCGCGTGCTAAGTGAGTGAACATCGCCACACGCTCAATCCACTCTGCGTGCTTTGTTTATCAACTCGCGCACATCAGCTATACAGACGTTAATACTGAATGTTTAACATTATATTCATTGCATACATATACTTCATAGTAGACATCCTTAACTCCTTTCTGCTGGCTGTTGTTCTGTTGTTGGTGTTTCTTTGTTTGAATATGGCGCTTATCACATGCTGTGTGGTATCGGCGTATGGTATCGGGGCATTTTAACCAGTACGAGTATGAGTACAGGAGCTCGGTATCGGTGCATCCCTAAAAAAAACCTGAAGTGGATTAGAAGCTTTAAAAAGCCTGTGTTGTCAGCATTGACAGTCAATATTGTCAGTATGGTGAATACCAACACGTGGTGAAATTTGCTATAACTAGCTATAAGAATTAAGTATATAGTTTTTTTTCTCAAAATGTCAAATGAAAGTAACATTAAGACTAAATAAAATAGGATCCAGGACAGAACCTTGAGGTACATCACACTTTATATTCCAATCCATTCTGTTAATTCATTCCATGCCAACTTTATTGAAACATTTAAAAATGATCCAAATCCAAGGTTGAAAACTTAAATCCATTTGTAGCAGGATTAATAGGGGTTTTGTCCTCCATGTTCAATCTAATGATGAACAATTTTGGCAAGAGTTGTGTCAATATTGTGAAGAGTAAAACACAGGCTAATTTTCATTTTTGGGTGAACTAACCCTTTAAGTCATTACGTTTAATTTGCATATTACAGATTTATTTTTGTATAATTATATACATTTTTCATTTTTGCTATAAAATACTACTTCAGCTAGAAGTTGTTATTTGCAATTAAAATGATTTTTAAAAAGCTTTATTCGATAATCACAAGCAAATGGAAAAGTCATGGAAATTCATTGGGCAAAAGGTGTGGGAAGCTTGTCTTTTGAGCTCCAAGACATTTACCCACATTTGGTGTCTTCAGGACAGAAAAGCTGCAAGGAACTTGTGCTATTCCACAAATAGAGGATGACTGGGGAAAGCATAACATCATCGACCCCCTACCTTTATTTTTATTTATTTATTTTATTATAATTATTTTTTTATAATGTCTGTATACATTCTGGGCCCTCTTATTATGTGCATTGACAGTGCACATGATTCTGATTGTATTCAGTCTACAGAAGAGATTGTAAGTAAGAGATCCACCTTAAGCTTCCCCTGGTGTATAGTATTCTGTCTGTGCTTATCTCATCTGTGTTTGCATTCCTTCCTTAAACAGAAAGTAGAATGTGAATGAATCTCAAGAATATTACAGGAGCGAACGGTGGCGGCCCACCTCACACAAGGACTGGCCAAGGATGAAACACTAAACTAATCATTGTGTTCTCAGGCAAAAGAGTGGTGTGGAGAGCCACATGTTGTGATAAGATGGAGCCATCTATAGTTGTTCAGCTAATTGCGTGATAAAAGAGACGTGAGTGCTTTGAAGTCTAAAATGCATTTGTCAGTTTCTTTGAAGGCTATAGTAATTGTCATGTTCACTGCACTACAAATCAAATCGCCGACACGTGTTCCTCTCCGGGTCTGCTTCGTTTCCCCTTACTTGATCTGGCTGTTACAAATGAATGCTGCTTGGCTGCAGACAAAGCCCTGATCCATCACATCTGGAGTCTGTAAACCTGAGTTATCCCAGGAAGAATTTCACCTGTATGTCTGCATTAGTGATTACCTTGAGGCCACTAAAGTCTCGTTAGACCCCAACCACTATCCAAGACTTATTTCACATCACATTTTAAAATGCACATATTTAAGCCACAAAGCAGAAGCAGCACTACTAATTGAGGTTTGGCTCTGCATGAACTCACAAGAAGACATGTTAGAAATGCACTGAACCTATTTATCAACACTCTTTTGCAATATATGCTCTTATCAGTGGCACTTTTGCTTTTTTGGCTTGATGCTCGACTCCAAGCAGTCATGAAATATTGTGCTAACTTGCCCTTGAGCTTTGTGATAAAACAAGGCTCCACATAATCGAAACGTACAGTCAGTTTCCTCTCAAATTTGAATGGAGATGTTGGTCCTTTCTGCTGGTCAGAGATCCCCCCTTGATGTTGGGGCTCGTTGTAAATGACTTCCTTGTTCCTGAGCAATCTCTTTGACTTCTGTGGAAAGCCAGGTGCCTTGCCTCTGGGCAGAGTTTAAATGCAGTAAGTTTTCACCCAAAATAAACCTGTATCCTGTAACGCTCAGTTCCTCTGGGCTCCTCAGATAATCACCCAAACCCTGATTCATCAATGACGACAATTGAATTAGCAGACAAACAATGTGTGCATGTCATAGATTCCCAGTGAACTGAAGTGTGTGGTGTGACTAGTAAAGGAGTGTGTGTGTGTGTGTATCATTTTAATGATTACATGATTGCATACATACACATATACATATATCTTTTCTTAATGATTACAGTAAAGCACTTGACCTGGAAGTAAACTGGGCCAGCAAGGGTTTAAAAGCAAAAAAAAATAATAATATTGTGTTTGTTAAAGCATGTGCATGCATTTTGCAGTAAAAGCATGTTTATTGTTTGGTTTGTAAAAATGTCAAAATTGTCCTTTTTGAAATATGACTACATTTGTAGGTGAATGATGACCTGGTTATGCATTAAATCATGTGTACAGCATGTTTGTGAACCCCTTGAACAGTGTTCAGAAAGCATCCCAGAATGCATCTCATGAAGTTTTGATTTGATTTGTCTAACATTTTGGCTACTACATAATCCCCATACTTCCATTTATGCTATTTTATTTTATTATTCAATATTATTATAAATTGTTGAAAGTATATCATGCAAAAGTTAGGACATACTATTTTTGTTACATTGGTAATAGAAGACTGATAATGACTTTACAGATAAGATCAAGGGATTCTGTCACACTAGTCTCATGCTAAGACATTTTAATTAATGTGGCTTTCAAGCATGTATGTCCATTGTAGGTGCTTTACTGTTGCTTTTTATTAAAAAAATCAGATCTAAGTTGCTGCTGTCGATAGCACCCGGAACATTCCTTTAACATATGCCAACCTGATGGATTTATAAGCAGTGTATATATTTGGTGTTATTGCCATATCAATATAGTGTTTCTATTGGGCCATTGAAATGTCACAGTATCTGTTGTCTTTATATTTGCATGCAGTGTGTGATAATGGTGTGACATCTGGGAAACTGTCCTGTGGTTACTGCCGTTGCTAGTAAATCTTTATTTAAATTGTTCTCATAAACAAGATCAAATTCATGGCATGTACAAATAAATTTATTGCACAAGCTTAAATGAATACATAACTTTATTTAAATAAATGCTTTGTCATAACAAAAAAAAAAGACAAATGTTAAAAGAGTACATAAATTACAAGTTGAATAAATATTACACAGTGATATTCACTTTCTTAATAATTTGAGAATTTTTTATTTTTTTTTATTTTTGTTGGTTTTTAATAGAGTTCCAAAATGCTGAACATTTTTAGAGTCCTCCAGCCACTAATGGGTCTTTTTCACATGCCAGTTTAAGCCACATTTAGGTGGTCAATCATCAAGTCTTTTCTCATCCACAAAAAAAAAAGAAAAAAAAGAAAAGACTGTTATGCATTCAGAGAAATAAAGAAAATCTGTCGTTTCTACTGTAGTGCGAGTTATGAGTTCTGCTGTCTACCCAAGTATGAGATTCGGAATCTGATGAAAGCAGATAAGCACAAAAGCAACATGCTGTGTCCTGGCAATCGATAGACTGTTACCTCTAATTACAAATCAGAATGGATCAAAATCACATTAATGACATTTCTGTCCCATTCTCACAGTGACACCCAGATGGATTATATGACGGGGAAACAAGATAAAATGGTTTTCAGCCATAGTGCATCGTCTTTTAACATTCAGGGTTTTCGGATAAACAATTTTTTGACTCGTTGCATGACTGCTCATCAGATTCCGAGACTGTCCGTCTACAAATTCTACTGTGAAGTGTGAAGCACTGCAAAAATGAGTATTTATGTCTGGTTTTTCAGTTCAAATATCTAGACATTCTTAAAAAAACAATTGACTTGAGAATCAAAAGACAACACTCGTTTTCAGAGAATTTGTCTTGAATTATAGGAAGATTCTAGCATTGTTTAATCAATGACGTACTTTCTTCCATGGAACACAAATTTAGAGCAGGATATCAAAGCTGCACTTTTCCTCAAAATGAGAGTGAATGGTTATCACGGTTGTCAAGCAAGATTTTCAAGGCAAGGGTTTGAATTAATAACTTAAACTGAATTACATTCCTCACACAAAGTTCTCCTACAGCTTTGAATGTGTTTCATAATTTCTTATTGTGCATCTTTTGTCTATTTTGGAGCTTGACAGACCCTATAGAAGTGAGCAGCTTGGACATTTTACTAACCTCAAGTCAAGTCAAGTCAAACTTGTTTGAAACATAAAGATGAGTACATGAATTTTAGTTCAAACTATACTTTGAAATTGTTTTTTCTTACCCTATGGGCAAATGTGTCCCTAAATGTTCTGAAAACAACTAATTATCTTGCATAATTTTGCTTTTTAAGTAAATTCAATTAGCTTTAAAGGAGTTCAGATGACTTTACTGGAAAACAAGACACAAATACTGATAAAGAAATATATTTTTGCAGTATGTATTGTGTATTGTGAAAGGAGGCCCAGCTCAAGATCACCGCTTGAGGCTCTCACCCGCTCTCCTTCTTCCCGGATATCACTGAGATGCAAAGTCTATCAAGAGTAGATGGAGAATAGACTGTGATTGGTAGATTTGTGTTACTGGTAAACCCACTGAATGATGATGCGGGTCTCAGGCTTGGGCTGCAAAGCCCCTGTCAAAGGTACTCAGGCAGAGTATCTGTCCGAGGCCTGCTCCTGCTCCTATACCTGAACTGAGATTCACTTTGAAACGGCACTAATCGCGTGGCAAGGTAAGGAATTAAGTGCAAGCTGCTTTTTTAAATGGGGGAGGGGGCTTTCGGCATGGATCAGGACCTGGATAATGCTGATTACTGATTTTGCCCGGTGGTGACCGACACCTACAAGGCTAACTGTGCAATAACAGAGGCGACTAGGCCGCCACGACGTACTCAAGACACCTGCAAAAGTCTGGTTAACCCGCACGCCCTGAACTCACTCTTTCTCTTTCATGCCACCTTCCATTCGAGAGCCAATTGTCATTCGCAAATCTTTTTTGACATGCAGCGGTTAGATTCTGCGGACCCGTGGTTATTTCGAATCACAGCCAGGCCCACACGGAATCTTCATGCATGGAATTCCACAAAATTGGAACGCCCGGCATTCACAAATTTCTACGCTGGCAAATTTGACTGTGCTTTCAGCTACCAATTAGAACATAGTTCTCAAAGCTCCATGTCTAAAATACGGAAAATGCGTGAATTCTGTCCGGGCCTGGTTATGATGGGCATTTACATGTTAGAGATCTGGAGAGATTCAGCTCTACAGGGTATGGTGTTAGCGCCTATTTTTACAGCCCCCTCCCAGCAGTGAAACTATGATCATTCGGGCCCTGAAATAAGATCCGGACGGACCCATTGTGGCATGGAAATGGCTTCACTCACTCTTCAAGTGCCGACCGGTGAGTATCCCTGTGTGATGTATAGCTTGATTGGAAATACTCTTGTCAGCAATTACACACATTTGCAGTCTCTGTCAAATCGATCGTCAGCTTATTCGTAAGAGAAATAACAGTAAATGAGCTAGCACTAGCTGGACTACGGTCTCACCCTATCTCAGCCTCGGCGCAGGGAGCGATTTCTGATAGCTGCTTGACATACAATGTAGTATAACGGATTTCATATTTAATCTGATGCTGTATTTGAACGCAACTGAGGTCCTTCGTCAATATAAAAACGTCTTATCGTTCCCCTTGGCTATTGTGTAACGTTCACGTCACCATTCAAATGTATTTGCATGTAGGAAGGCACTGAGACTCACACACAGAAACTCACACTGAACGACGCTGTAGTTAAACGTGCCTTCTGTTTCCACCGTGGTTAATAACATCGATGAAACACAGGAATACAAATGAAACGCGTCATCGTGCTGACCAAAAGAGCTATTACCTATTGGTGAACAGTCAAAGTAGGCGGGGCTTAAAAAGTGGTCTGACCTGCATTCAAATGAGCAAGTTGTCATTGTGACAGGTCAGATGGAAATATGCAAATTTATAATGCTAACGCTCCTCTGCTGAGCATCTGAACATTGTGGTTGTTTGTTAAGGATAACAAAACAAAAAAAGAAAAGTAAAAAAAAAAACATTCAATAATCTAGAGTTAAAGGTAACATACCGAGGTTGCACCTATTTCAGTGAAACCACATGGTCGAGGAACATGGCTCATAAGTGGACTGTCATTACCTCCATGAAGTCAAAGGAAACGGCACATAACAAAAGTTATTCAGAAAAGAAAAACAAAACATTACAGGCAGAAAGAAACTACCGTTCTGCACGGTGAACGTCTGTCAAAGTTCAAACGCAAATGCTGGGAGCGTTTAAGGGTTACAGCATCTGTCTTGATTTTAACTCGGCCCAGATGCCACAATATCTGATACAAAAATATTCCAGAGTGGCATTTTCTTTTCTAGGCGTGGGCACCGATTGATTCTGTGTGGACTTTTTTTTCTCATTCGGGACCCTGTGTAACTCTGCGTGGCAGCGTCTGTTTACATAGGCACGGTTGGCATGTTAGGCTACAAAGTCTGGAGCCACTGAAACAGATTTGTCTAATGGGATCCTGGTTTTCTTTCACTACGTTCTGGGAGGGATATGCCACAAAGACAAAAAAAAAAACTTTTTTTTTTTTTAAGCTATCGCCATATTTCATTGCTCACACGCATACACTGAACTTGGTGAAGTTACACATTTCCAAGCAGGTTCCCCAATGAATAAGTGCTCTGACAGGACCAAAAAAAAAAAAAGCCAGATAGAGATGACTGTATCAGCAGATCTCTACCATGTGTTTTCCATTCTTTCTTCTCTTTTGGAAAACAACACATTTTTTTTTTTCAAATAGTAAAAGTTTCTGCTATCTCCTTTGATACCTTGACAGCAAAAGATGTAAAAGACCAAGATAGCCCTGTTAATATTCAACATGCCATATATTCTTTTTTTTTTTTGTATTTTGTTTTATGTTAACTTTAAACAAAACAGTATGGTGCTCAAACCCCAGCTTCTATAAAAATATATAATTGTATGTATATATTTTTAACAATTTTTTATTGTTGTTGCCGGGACTCAGCTCTAGCAGGGAGTCCAGTGAGATAGAGATGAGCGCTCAGTCAAAACATTGTTTCTTCTTGTCCTTGCGCACGGCAGCATGCTTCTTGCTGTGGATTACGTCTGGTTTGGGGTAAAGCGGAATTTTAGGAATCTGGTCTTCAGTCGTGTCTGGCTTCACTGTATCATCATGCTCTATTGATTCACGATCTAAGACAAAGAGAATCAAATAATAAGCATTAACTAGATTTTTACTGCATGGAAATGTGAGTGCCAGTGCAAAACTTGTCAGCATGATGTTAAAGTGTTTGCCAGGGTGTTGATATGGTGTTTTGAGTTTTGAATCTCTATTATTCTTATATTCTTGTTTCTAGTTTTCTCAGGTTCTTTAGAGTTAAAGAATGAGATTTTTCACCCACAAAAACTAAATGCATTAGCACGCCTCAGTAAGCTGCACAATTTGAGGTATCATTCATACAATATCAACCAAGAATTTGATTGGCTGAGGCAGACCAGCCTTAAAATGTAACTTTAAATTTTTAAAATGTAACTTTAAATTTAACAACAAAGTGGTGCATAATGGATTGTTAGATGACGACTGGTTGACCATTGTGATATGGTGCATTTTAGGTTGTTTGCAGTTGCACCGCCAGGCAAATTGAAAGCATTAGTACAATAGAGCAATAGTATTTTGCCCAAGCAAACACCAGTAATGATCTCAGTGTCCTACATCTGACTTCAACAATTCAAATAGGCTGAATTCAATTTGACTTATAAAAACCTGAGAAATCTCTTATAAAAATCTCTCCAAAGGCTTTAAGATATTTACACATCCTAGTTGCTAATGAGTTTCCAGAGCGTAAACATGAAAGCAACTGTTTTTCCACCAAATGTTTCTTATGAATTTGTTTACAGAGGGTGGTGGCAGGATCAACAGCTGATGACCACCCCCAACCCAACCTATCGCTAGTTGAAACACTTGGTTTTGCCTGACTAAACATCCAGTTGGGTTAAAATTCCAATATCTCATGCTATTTGGTGGGATTTCTCCAAATGCATTTAGGTGTACAGCCTAAACATTGAATGCACCTCGGTTTTATGTAGCGTAATAATTCATTTGATTTCATCGTAGAGAACGTGCATGACTATTTGGGAGTGAGAAACGGCTTTTCAAAGGATCCTTAACAGCTCAGAACTGTATTTGAAAAACTTTGAAGTCACAATAACCATAACACCACGACAACCGCAATGTTCTTCTGCAAGAATCTAAGGCTAGGTGGGTCACTGTCGACATGTGTCCAGGGAAAATGTGGCGATATTGCAGAACTCGAGCACATATAGTTTGGTAGTAAAACTCCACAGGATACATGACTCTACTTATAAACTGTCTTTCCACTGAAGTCAAATCTGTTGGACAAAGCCGAGCTTCATAAAACTGAACACTTGAACCATGCAGAGAGAAGCCAAACATAGTCATCCAGAGGAGATTAACAGATCATTAACACTAAGCATAAAAGTCAGGATATATAATTGCATTGACATTTAGCTATCCAAACCTTCAAAAATAATCTGACAAACTATTATTTATCATATTTGCAATATGAAATTGCATTTTTAATAGGAGTTTATGATTGTGGTATTGCATAACAAAAAAAAAGTTCAAATATAGTATTGTTTCCTTTCAGACCTAATGCCAGCATGTAATTCATTTATTAAATCCACGTATGTCCCAATTATAAATTGGGACATAATTGTGAAACGCTGACAAATGCACACCTGTTTTTGTAATTTCTATATTAATGCACCAAGTTGCATGGCAACAGGATTATTATAGTTAACTAAAACTAAAACCACAAACACCTTTGTTACTTGAAATAAATTATTCATATTTATTATAATATTTTATTTAATCTATTTACCAGGGAAACTCTTCTCGTTTTTACTTAGCTAACTCGATGTACTAAAATAACTAAAAATAAAATAAAAATGTATAAAAACTAGATATATTTTAAAAAGCTAATAAAAATGACTAAAACTTTAAGTTAAATTTAAATGGAAAAGGGAAATATAAAAATAAAAAATTATAATAATATTATCTCAGTGACAATAAATGCACTGCTTAGCAGCCATAAACAGTTCATGCTATTTATTATGCAAATAAACAAAATTACTTGGCAAATTGTTCATGTATTTGGAAAGTATTTAATTTGTAAATACTTGGGTAAGGGATTGGCACAACATAAAGTGATTATTATAATAAAAATACATTGATATTAAATTAATATTAAATAGATAAATAGCATGGTATTGTTGCTATTGAATCTTAGAGTGGCTTCATTTGAGAATCAGACAAAATGGAAATGGACATCCGGAGTCAGGTCTGAACATTGATGCTGTTGGGTTGCCAAGTATTTTTGTGCATACAGCCAAGAGGGCATTATCAGACAGCTGAGGCAGCCAGCAGAAATGACTGATATAACTGCCCTCACAGTCCCCCTGAGCTCCAGTGCTTCACATTGCTGCGGACTGGGGCAGGGTGTTCTGGAGCGGCCCGGTGGTGAAAGAGTCTGTCTGACCTGGAGACGCATGGGGAGTGTGCCTGGTCATTACAGGAATTGGTTTTCTGGCTTCTGAAGTTACAATCAGAGCATGGTGCTGTCTCTTTGAAATCAATCCCGCAACCCATGACTTGGCAGACTGAAATTTCTGTACAGATTTCCCCACAGGTTTAGGCTCCTGAAACCACAGGATCTGAGATTGCCTCATGGAAATGTCATAGGGACGTTTGCCTAGAGCGAGATTTACATGGCTTGGAAATGTAGACTTTAAATGCGAGGGCACAGGACGACTGGGATGGCACAATTCCTTATGGTTGTTTTCGTGATTTTTCCTCCTTGTGCGTGGCACAAACCAACAATGCCTAGAGTTTACAAACCACTAAATTCATCTTTTCTGTTGTAGGCTTTTCATAGTGAGGACCAAAATCACTTTTTCCATGCTCGTGGTCCCCGGCTTGTAAAGGTTTCGCAGGTCTGTGTTTAACATCTGACACACAGCCAAGATCTTGGAGCCCGGCCAAACCAGACGTATCACGTGTAGCCTGTCTATTCATATGAGCTTTGGAAAGAATGCTGAAGAGGTATTGGTGTCTCTCCTCTTGGTCTTGCAAAACTTTTCATTAAGATAAAGGGACCCGAGCTTGGCCAAAGGAGATGCATCTGATAAGGGCCCTATTTAATAATTTACATGTGCGCTGGGCAGTTATACTTCATGAATATCCACGGTTTCTTACAGCTTGGGGGCTAATGATGAAAGCAGATCTCCTTTTGAGTTGCATTGTCACCTTGTCCGATTCTTTTTTCAGAATGTGCTGCCAAACAAGCTGAGAAATGCTCCTGAAATCCTTAAAGCCCTCGCATGACGTGTTTTAGTGTCTTATTAGCATGCATGGCTAGAATTAGGTCTTGCTATTGTAAAATATTCAGACTAGCTCGCCTTTGAAAGTCATTCTTGAAGCAGGCCGTTCTGCTTTGTCTTGCATTCATTGTCACACACCAACCATGGCATCCCTGGCAAGATTCCACTGCTAAATATTTAAAGCTTGGACCGTGTCCACAACATGTTTGGGCCTCTGTAGCAGAGAAGCATGCTATGAACTAAACACCATGAATGTAACCGTGCACTAATGCTAGTTAAAACCGGGGGAACTGCAAACTTCTAAGCAACATTAAGAGCAAGACCTGGCTGATTTGGGATAAAAGTTTCCATGTTGCAATACACTATCGGTTACAACCAAGAAAGCCATCATATAACTTACTATTCAAACAAGTCCCCTGTAATTCAGGACAATGCAAAGTGATGACACCTGTCGATACCCTTCAGGCTGAAAGCACATGTGCGCACCTCTGCATCGCCTGACTGTGTCTCATGTCATCAACACTCCGAAACATGAACTCAGGAGGTACTCTTCAGACATCAGTGGATCCCAGACTCCCAGTCGCTGATTTCAATTAGCTCAGACAATGGCAAGAGAGCGATATTGTCTGTAAGCCCAAGGCATCTTATCACAAAGAGTATCTAGCTACAATCTTTCCTCTTCTAAACTAAACTTCTAAACTAGGCAAGATCATATCTTTTTTTTCCCAAGCAAACTTTAGCAGTCCAAACCACATCAATCTTAATATTTAATTACTGTTAAGATAGTATATAATAATTAATAAGAAGTACGGCTGGGCGATATGATGGTAAAACTGTGTCAGCCAGAGATTTTGCTATACCATTTAAACCGTGGTAGATATATTTGCATGGCTATCAGTGGCCAGGACTGCTTTACTGAGGTAAATAACATTACATGACTATTCACAAGCTGTTTTATTGATGGTATAAATGCTCGGAAATAATATTTAACGTTTTCAAGTCTATTCATTATTTGTGGTGCGCCAGCCACCCAATAATCGCAATAAGCATGTTTTGTTATTTTTAATATAACACAAATCGTAGCCTTTAAATTCTGTCAGTTTTATGAGGAAATACAAACAATAAATGTGATTTTCTGCTCTTTAATGTGGTGTGAGATCACTGTATTCACCTCAGTTCAAGCGGCATGCGAATCAATCATCTTTTTCCTCTTTTCTACTAGTTCCAGCACAAGATAAACATGAATGAATATCAGAAGACATGTTGAAAAAAATCAGAACAACTTAATAAAACGAATGTCTCATGTAATCAATCAATCAGTGTTTCGAAAATCATCAATAAAACAGCTTGTAAATAGTCATAACAGTCGTAACATAACATTTACCTCAGAAACATCAACAATAACTTTGCCAACATTGTTTTATTATTTTCACAAATCAGTTAGTTAACCACCACAGACCTTTTTTTTCTTTCTTTCTTTTTTGAGTAGGTCGAATTTTCACATTAATTATTTTTTATTCACGCAATATAACACAACTTTAATATCGTAATTTTGACTCTATTCTAAAAATGTTATGGCACTAAAATGCCGCCATATTTACTAAATTACTTAATGCAAACACATTCTTGGCACAGCAGCCCAAAACGCAAAAAAACAGAAAGAAAGAAAAAACGGGAAAAAAAAACTACTCACTTAACATATAAAACGAGTAGTCATAGCTACTCGTTTTATATGTTGAGTAAGTAATAGTACATATATTGAGTGTTATATGATGTAAGACTTATGATTTATTATGAATATCAATAATCATTTTGTTTGTGTCTATCAAGTTGCAAAAAAGAAGAGAAAATAGTGGAATAAGATCAAAAGTATTTGCACTTAATTCACTAGATTATCCCAAGTTATACATTACGGCATGATGGTTTAATATGTCAACCATTTATTTAATTAAATTAACAGCAAAGATAACTACAGTTTAATGCAATTACAGTGTTATAGCGTGATATAAAGTTACTCACAAAATAAGTTTAATTTCGCCTACTTTTAGTACAACAGGAAGTAGACTTGTTATGCACACAAGTGTGTGTGGCTCAGAGATTGAGCTTTATCAGTCGTTTTCGAATGAATCGGCTATTCTAAGCAGGCCAAATTTTGTCACCACACCGCCTTTCCCATGATCCTCAACAACTAAATGTAACAACTGTAACAGAACTAACGATTTTGTCTTGTGCTGTATTTTATCTATCCTCCCAAGAATCCTGCAGGGCACAAAATTTGAGGCAGTGCGTTGGAACCACATCTGAACCTGTGCTGCAGGCAAGAAATTAGGCACCTTTTGTTCTCCTTCCCTGAAGAAACGTGACACTGCGTCTCCCCTCCACTGCGTCTCTCCTCCACTGCCCCGAAGCACATGACAGGAGGTTTCAACAGGTCGGGGTCTTCTGCTCAACCACATGGTTACAGCTCTGCTGTCTGCTTACATTTTGTATGTTTAATTTTCTAAACGTGAGCAGTACATCCATAGATTAAATAGATTGTTTTTGTGAATTCACTGTTTTGGTCAGCCTAACATGTGTTCCGATTTAGGCAGGGCCCAGCGTGAGGATGTCGCTGCCCGGGAATCACGTTTCTGACAGAGACGAGACTACTGTGCGAGCTGATTTTCTTCACAGCTGTTACTCACTAGCTTTCCAGGTGCCAATGACAAATACACAGCTGGACAGATTGCTGTTAAACTTTACTGGAAGAAGTCATTCAAGTGTGCCAAATAGGTTCCCTACTTGCATACCTCTGCAAAGGATGACTGGGCACTAGATATACGAGCGCTGTGGAGTGTAGTTTAGGATTATGGAAAAAAAGGAGGAGAAAATATTCTGTAACCAATGTAGATTATGCAGAGTTTCAAAAGCTGAGCATCACTTTCAAAAAGTGGAAGAGATCTATTCAGGTGCTAATCAGTGAAGCGAGCCGTATATCTTTCAGCGTCAGTCTGATGTTGCAAGCAAGTATATGTTTCTGTGAGTTTGGCCTGTGGCGCAATATAAAAATGAGATGACAGACAGGCAATAGAAGAACAACTGCGTTCCATTCATTTGTAATCATTGTTTAGTTATGGCTACATCTCTAGTGGGTAAATAAAATGCATACATCAGCAATACCGAAGTAACCCAATATAACAGCCAAGTGCTTTTGGCCCAGTTCTTTACATTTGTTTATTTGCACACTCTATAGATTCAGACCAGCAAACATTGCGCATACAGTTCTTTCGGGCAAGATGCCTGTAGTCATATCTGTTAGCAACTGCATCCAAGTTCCACATGGCATGTCCGAACAGAAAGTCTCCCTTTTGATTAATAGCAAATTTGCAGTATTTACCAATCCTTTAGCTAAATGACAATCCGGCATTGCCTATTATACTTGGCTCTAAACATCGAATCTTTAAACCGTGATCGCCAGCATTCAAGACCATGAAGGTATGACACTATTCACATGAGTGGGACATGATTCCATTGATTCCAAATACCACGGTAGGCTAGAAGCATCCCTCTAAATTCATCCCCATGCTTGACGAACAGCTCTTGATAGATCGGCTCCACAGACATTCTGCTGAATCACAAGGGATCGTCTGTGTGCCCACTGCAATCACAGAAGGGGTAAACCAGCAACTCTTCATAAACGTGATTTTTGCACATAGGTTGGCTTGTAGAGACACCGTGGCTACCCTCCTCCCCTTGGATTTAATCTTTGAGCGGTAATCCGACCCTCAACACCACCCACAGATTTAGACCTAAATTCAGAGCAACCTAGAATCTCAATCAAGAATATCATGAGGCGTGGGTACACCGTACAATGATGAGAGGTGTGATCATAACAATGGAGGAGTCACTAACATCAATAGAGCACCAAACAAATGCCATTGCCAAATCAAACAATAAACAAGAAATGCAGCATCAGAGCAGCCTTAAACTTGGCCATTACAGAGCATATATTTATGGGTTAATATTTTTATTCACAATCAGACATTTTCATACATTCCATTGCACATAATTTTTGTTTAAATGCATTATATGATACTTTAGATGCAGCTTCAGTACAATAAAAAAGGTACAGTGATGGTATCAGATGGCAATACCATGGTACATTGATATACCCCTTAAAAAAGTACAGTGGGGGTGTGACTTGGCATAGTGATGGCATTATATGGGACTCCAGCCAAGGTATTTATATGGTACTCCAGGGACTTCCAAAACAATGCTATGATACTACTATGGTAAATGGCAAAAAACATGGTAGTAATATGGTATATGTCCAAAATACAATGGTAGTCCCAATGACACCATGTCAAAAACGCCAAATGGTTTTGAATAAAATACAAATATTCTATTTTTTTTTTAGAATGTTCAAATATTAAAGTATCTGATAATGATACAATGGTATTGGAATGGTATTTACATTATACTGCGTCCAAAAATACCATGGTACATTTCCAGAAAACGCGGTACCACCACGGTACTTTTTGTAAGTGCCTTTGCAGCGTGAAGATGGAAACCGTTTGCTAATAATTGGCTTATGATGAAACATAAACAGGCTTCACTAATCCTAATAATCTACAGCGCTGGAATATGATGGAAAACAGCACTGAGCACCGGCCACAACACAGAAAGCTCATGCAGAAACATGCGCACGCCATAAAACTGGATCAGCGCAAGCCACAAAGTTCCAACCAGATACACGAGCTCAACGCAACAATGCTTTCGTGCAATAAATGCGCACTGCTTTCCAGTCAACTTACCAATGGGTGGGTGCGGTGGTTTGTATCCCTTCTCGTTCGTACACTCTCCCTTGCCGTGCAGCAGGGCGTGAAGCGGCTTCTCCTCGCCGTTGCGCGGCAGGCAGCGCAGTCCGTGCGTGCATGTACCGGTGTACACCCCGCACGCTTGCCCCTCCGCCAGAGCGCAAGTCAAGCAGCAGCCGCAGCCGGGCTCCTTCACCAGCTGACAGCCCACCGGGACCGGAGGACACATGGAGAGCGCCTTCTGATCGCACGGCGCGCAAGGCACATAAGAGCCTCCGCTGATGGACAACGCCGTGAGAAATGTACCCAGCACAAGAAGAGCCATACTTCGTTTCAAAGTGAACGAGGTCCGGTTTAATTAATAATAATAATTATTTTAAAAAAAGAAAAGAAAAAGAAGCAAGAACTAGATATGAGAGCGCATGAGCGTTTGGCTCAGATTCGAGTGAAACCTCCGCATGCAAAGTGAAAGCACAGGTTGGAGTGTCTTAAAAATGAGAAAATAAAAACAGTCTTTGATGAAAAATAGATGATGAAGAAGAATCCGGTGGATTTTTATATAAATATATACATATAAAAAAAATGATTCACTTGGGTATTCTCCAATAGTCCAGTTTGTGCGCAATTGGTTGCGCACTGAAATTCTGGACTTTCCGAGTCCAAAACACTTTCCCCTCTGGAAGTTTTTTGAGCAGACTGATCAACTTCACAGCAGTGCTTGCCTTTTTAAAAACAGCCAAACCCAAACCCCTAACTATGAATAAGCCAAACAGCGGTGAAGGGAGGCGCACTTGCCAGATCGGGGCGCAGCGCCAGCGCCTCCCCCCGGCAATAGGATCAGTCCTTTACGCAGTGATGCCAAGAGCGCAGAGCAAAACACAAATCCATGCAAAATCGAAGATATGCTCCTCTGAGATCTTTCGTGCACGAATCTGACGCTATACTGGGCACAAAGTGCACGAACTTGTGCACGATCAGTGGCTTTCCAGCAGATTCAAGACGTAACGCGTCAAATGGCAACAGGGATGTGACATGATAAAGACGCTTGCTCACATATACATGCAGAATACACACAAAAGAGCACGAATAGAATCGCTCTGCTGATAGGCACCACCCGTATATTAACGCGCGCAGGGAACATGTATGAGTAGTGGAGAATGGGGAGTGTTTTGTTTTGCTCTGCGTGTTTCAAACTTCGATATAATATTCCCATGTTTATCTTCTACAAATTAAAGTAGTTTTGAAATCTGCTACTTACCGGTAGCTCTAATAGAAAACATGGACAATCAAATTTACTTATTCAAAATAATGACTACGCCGTCTCTCAGTCTACCCCGCATCCTCCTTTCAAGCTTTTTAATTCAAAATAGTGAACATGTCGGACATATTTTCAGCTAAGTAAACTGGAAATTACTATAACAAATAGTTATGAATAGTTTTGAAAATGTCACAACTAGAGCTCGAATATTGAATGCAATATATCAAAATAAACAAGACAAGCTGCTGATTCAGATAATACCACTTCTGTCATGTATTCTTCATTAACATGATCACAAATCGAATTATAAGCCAGATGCGCTAATGTATTTCTTCTATCTTCTCATAAGGGTGTCAATCATCTAAAGTGATTTCACCCATGCAACTTCTTTCTAAATGGTTAAACTGATGGTGTTACAGCTCAACCAAACCTTGTTACAGAACTCGTATAGAATCGTTTGAGCAACATATGCAGCACTATACTGACTGCATCTATGAAGTCTATATCACTGCAGTGCACAATTAAAACCAGATGAGGTGTGTGGTGAATACTGTGGTAAATGCTTAAAATCTCTTTTCTCTCATGCAGAGAGGTTTTTTTAGCTTTAATTATAGTGGTCTTGGTGGTAGTTTAAGAATAAGCAATCTACACCCACCTGTTCTGAACTTTGAACTGCTGAAGCCGCAATTTGGATGAGATTTAACAGACACGATTGTTTAATCATGCCGTTCGCTCAGTGTCCAAGTGGCCCTCTGCTGTTTACATGTCCCTGATTTGCCTTATAGAGTGCTCCAAATGTCCCATATGTAAAGTTCATCAATGAGTTGCTCTGTTTTGCTTTAAAATTGCTTTGTCAGATGTGCGATAGCACTCGATATTTCATTTCTTTTGATTGTTCTGTGCTTTTCATACATGCTGTCTCTTGTTTTACGCAGCTGTACAAGCCTCAGTGTCTGTGTGGGTCTTGCTGCTGGATTTAGCTCGCCTCTGAGATTTTGACCACTAGAAGGCGCTGTTAGCAATGGTAAGAGACTCACCTTGGAATGAATGCTGGCCCGCAGACGCTGACACACATGCCGTACACATCTCACACTCAGGAGTCGAAGAGACAGACATCAGCCGTCAAGAATGTACATGCTGTTTTGATACGTGAAGTTTAGGGCCCTGTTGTCTCTGTATGCAAGTTTTTGAAAACTTTATTGCTTAATATACTGTATGTCTTTATGATGTTTCAATTTCATTAAAGTAAGCCTGAATTGGTTGATTGATGTCATCTTTACACTAACAGCTCCACAGTGCCTGTCTTCCTGGCACTGGTGTCCAGAAAGCTTGCAAAGATGTTTTACTGTTCATTGAATTATGTCTGTTTTCATATTTGTTCCTGAATTTCTTCATGAGTCATCTATGATCTACCATTCTGGATCTGAACTAGGACTGTTTTCCAGTCGTATAAGATATCAAATGGTTATAAAGGATATAAAACAAACTTAATGGATGCAGAGTGCAAGTTACTGGAAACAAGCTGGAACTGTTATCCGCTTGCTAATGAGGAGATAAACTGTCGCAAATTATCGGTGTGAACACTACTAACCAGCAGAGTACCAGATTTGATTGATCGATTGGTTGATTTATTTATGATATTAATTAATTTATGTTAGGCAGTTAATTTTTCTTGTGCATCATATGTTTTAATATATTTGATAAAGTATTACAGTCATATTTTTAAATGTTAAAATTATTTTATAAATTGCACAACAATTTTTTTGTATTTTTATTTGAATTATTTAAAAATATAATTTATATGGTTTTATGTAATATTTTAAAGATATTGGATATAAATTATATTTTATTATATCACAATGTCACAGTTAATTAAATAATTTCACTACATTTTACAGATAAATGATTTAATTTCATATTTATTTTTATGTATCATATTTATTTCATTGATATTTATTAAAGTGTTTTTCTTTCTCTAATCAAGGTGGTTAAAATTATTATTTCTTATATATTTATTTATAAATTTACAAATCACCAATAAATAAATAAATGATAGAAAAACAGTTAAACAAAAACATTTACATTTTTAGAAATATGGATACATTTGACAGCTTTTCTATTTTTCAAACTTTTTTTTTTTTTTGGTATTATTGGACTTCCATCTTTAAAATTAAAAGGCTTGTTTCCCCCATATTTATATTTATGTATACTAAATTTAGTTAATAGAAATAGCAGATTAATTAATAAATATTCCTCACGAAAAGTTGTGTCATAAGTGAAATAAAACATTTTCAAAACATTTTCAAAACACAGTTGAAAGTTGGACATCTAAAATCCTTTTAACTAATAACAGCCACTTCCCTAATGACATCATCCTCCAGGAAGTGACAACATTTTGGAGGGAAAGCACCAACACAAACATCTGTGAGTATGAGTGATGGTTTACTGGAATGTTTTCTGCTCTTAATTGGTTTGTTGCACTCTAAAACATTCAACCCTGTTTGTTAAGTTAATGTCAATGTTTCAAAATGCCAAAATGCACTTCAGGTTAAGTAAGTTAAGCTAATTTTAACGCTTTAATTCTTGCCATTGTGTACATAATCAAGTTATAACTAATAAAGTTTAAGTGCTTGTAGTACTTGATGAGTATCTTGCTGCGCAAATTAGTTAACGTGGACATGCTTTTATTTAGTTACCTGAATAACAACACATGGGATTGAATGACACAAATGAACTTTATTGCCCCCTAGAGTACTGAAGGTTAAGTGTTTGTGTACTTGTGGAAAGTATGTTTCTGCCTTACTTCTTTGTGTGTTTAGCTTAAAACGTCTTAATTGTACACTGGTGGAAATCCATCAAATTGATACTATTTTTGCTTAATGGGTTCATAATATAAGTTTTGCTGTTTGTTCGCATTTGTATAATATTTAAGGTTAAGACCTTTCTAATGTTCAGTCAGTGATAGCATAAGTAGCATGTAATGCCATCTCAGTCTTAATCGCATTTTAATTGTGTTGTCCGGTTCTTTGAATATTTATAATGCTTGAAAATGTTTCTTCAGTTTGCGAAAGCAGTCGCCCACATGGTGAAAAATTGAAGGAAAAATGCTGTCAGAGGAAGAAAGGTGTCCATGTACAAATATTATGAGTAGGATGTGGTCTGTGAACATCAGTGTAGGAATTTCTCGCTCTCCATCATGTCTGAAAAATGCCTTAATTGGTAAATTAATGTCTCTCCTCGTGTAATGTCTCCATCTGTCTTTTATCCAGTCAGCTTTGTGGGCGTTGCACTGTTTACACAAACTAATGATTTCAAGCGTTAACATGTATGTTAATATGTGGCTGTGAGATTGTACAATAGTGTTGTTTGTGTGTGTGTGTGTGTGTGTGTGTGTGTGTGTGTGTGTGTGTGTGTTTGGGAATTATTTATGTCGTATATATCAATATTTTGAATTAGTTTTTATTTTTATTTAATTTTTTTAGTTTCAGCTATTTTTTTGTGTTTTTGTCATTTTTATTAGTTTTTCAAATATTTTCATTTCGCTTTAATTTAATTAATTTTTAACAAACTTTTTTTTATTTAATTTTCTTACAAAATCCATGTCTAATATTTGTATTTTAATATTTATAATATATTAATATTTATTTTATTTCAGTTAGTTGCCAAAGCAACATTTGTCATTTTCTTTTAAACCTTCTGTCTAATATTTATATATTAATATTTATAATATACTAATATTTATATTGATATATATATATATATATTTGCTTTATTTCAGTTAACTCAAAAACATATTTTTAATAGTTTTCATTTTAGTTTACAATAACAACATACATTCCAAGAAGAAATGCTCTTATGTCTGCCAGTTTAGAGTTTTTTTTATTGTACACTGATATGCATTTTGTGATTACACATTTTGTCTGGAAAACAGTAGCCTTAAACCGTCAGGTATATCTAGACATTTAAATTTTGTGTTATCTGTGTCATTAGCATCATTAAACTGAAACGCAAAAATAATAAATGTTTTCAAAATAGTTTTCGGAACACTCCCCACATAATCCCTTGGTTGGCCAAACAGATAGTACAGTCCCAAACTAATTCTATTGGTTACCATTAGAATCAACTGGAGTCCATATTGGTTTAATAAATACAGGTTTAGATGCTCTATGCTTTTCTTTGTTTAGTTCTACAAAAATGTATGTTTGTAGACTTGAGGCATAGTTTGTGTCCAGATGTTTCAGGATTGGCCAGTAGTTCTGGTCCCAGTGATCCATCTTTTTGTGGTTCATCTCAGCCTAATTCCCAGGATTACATGGCTTGCTTGCTGAATAGAAGCAGCATCAGAGAGACAATGAGGTTTCTGGATGTCTTAAACTCACACTAATTCATTTCTAAAGTGCTCCCTCATGTTCAGCTAACCAGTATAGCCCAAACAAATTATTTAAAGAAAGAAATATATATATATATATATATATTGAGATGCACCTGTATATAGAAAGAATATTAAATGCAAGTAATGCAAGTGTCTACTTTAAGGT